ACACCGGCTTCATCGGGGTGGAGACGTTCGCCAGCCTGGTGCACAGCCATGAGCTGCCCCTGGACCCCGCCAAGCTCGACATGCTGGTGGCCCTGGCACAGGGCAACGACGAGGGGCAGGTCTGCTATCAGGAGCTGGTAGACCTGGTCAGTGCCGGGCGGCCGCAGGGACGGGGTGGGTGCAGCTCCCTGTGCCCCTGGGGAGGGGGGCAGACACCGGCGGTCCCCAGGGACTCCCCTGGCGTGGGATGGCGGATTGGCCTCGGGACGGCTCGGGGGGGGCTGGCAGGGGGTGGCCCCAGGCCGTGAGTCCCCCTCGGGCACGGCCTCTCTCCGCAGATCAGCAGCAAGCGCTCCAGCAGCTTCAAGCGAGCCATCGCCAACGGGCAGCGGGCGCTGCCCCGGGACGTCCTGCTGGACGAGACCGGCCTCGGCATCTACAAACGCTTCGTCCGCTACGTGGCCTATGAGATCTTGCCCTGCGAGATGGACCGGCGCTGGTACTTCTACCAGCACCGCACCTGCCCGCCCCCCGTCTTCATGGCAGCCGTCACCCTGACCCAGGTACGGGCACGGGCGGCTCCGGGGGTCCCGGGATCACACTCGGGGCCGACACGGTGCCTGAGCCTGGTTGTGAGCTCCTGGTGCACACGGGGAGCTCAGAGCTGACCTGAAGGGATGTGGCACCCTGGGCACATCTTTGTGGCCGCGTGGGTGACTCAGACCCGGGGCGGTGGGGCTGGGTGACCCCAGTTGTGATGTCCTGGTGCCCACAGAGGGGTTCAGATATGGGGTGAAGGGTTGGGTGCCCCCCGTTGTGATGTCCTGGAGTCCATGGTGGGGCTGAGACCCAGGACAGAGGGGATGGGATGTTCTGGTGCCCAGAGATGGGACCCACAGAGGTTAGAAGGAATGGCTGAGCCCAGCAGTGATGTCCTGGTGCCCTTGGGGAGCTCACATGAGGGGTGGAGGGATGGAGGATCCTGTTTGCGATGTCCTTGTGTCTGTATGTGGGGCCCGGACCCAGGGCAGTGGGGATGGGTGACCCCAGCTGTGACATCCTGGTCAGATGTGGGGTGAAAGGGGGTGACAGCCACGGGGTTTGTCACAGATCATCGTGTTCCTGTGCTACGGGGCCCGGCTGAACAAGTGGGTGCTGCAGACCTACCACCCCGAGTACATGAAGAGTCCCCTGGTCTATCACCCCGGGCACCGGGCACGCGCCTGGCGCTTCCTCACCTACATGTTCATGCACGTGGGGTAGGTCCTGCCGGGGGGGGGACACACCGGGGACACCCCGGGGGCTGTGCTGGCTGAGCCCCCCGCCTGTCCCCTCCTGTGCCCGGGCAGGCTGGAGCAGCTGGGGTTCAACGCCCTCCTGCAGCTGATGATCGGGGTGCCCCTGGAGATGGTGCACGGCATCCTGCGCATCAGCTTCCTCTACCTGGCCGGGGTCCTGGCAGGTGGGTGCTCCCCTGGGGTGGGGACTGTCCCCAGGGGTCCCTGTCACCAGCCCGGGGACGGCACGGGGAGGAGCACCCCGAATTTGATGGGGATGCTGGGCTGTGCTGGCTACCACCCTGCAGTGCCAGCATCACTTGGTTGGGGGCTGGGGGGCAATTCAAGCTGTAATTAATTAATGTAGACAGTAATTAATTCATGCTGTGGGGGCGAGACCCCGTGCTGAGCCCTGTTTGTGCCCCCAGGCTCCCTCACCGTCTCCATCACGGACATGAGGGCCCCCCTGGTTGGGGGCTCGGGGGGGGTCTATGCCCTCTGCTCTGCTCACCTCGCCAACGTCGTCATGGTCAGCCAGGGGACAAAGGGACACAGAGCGGGGGGACAGGGGGTGGACAGTGGGCACCACGGTGGGGGATGCCATGGGGTGACAACGGGGGTGGGAACTGTCTGCAGGTTGGGCAAGGTGGTGGGACATTAACAGGGGATGCCATGGGGTGCCACTGTGGGGTGGGCAGCACTGGTGGGGGGATGCTCTGGGGTGGCATTAGGGGTGGCACCATCACAGGGGGACCACCTTGGGTGGCATCGTGGGGTGGGCAGGAGCAGGGATCTGAGTGGGCTCCATGGGGCACTGCAGGGGCTCTGGCAGCAGCCTCCTCCTCCATGCTGGAGCCTCGCTGGTGCCACCCGTCATCCATCCATCCATCATCCATCCATCCATCCATCCATCCATCCATCCATCCATCATCCATCATCCATCATCCATCCATCATCCATCATCCATCCATCCATGATCCATCATCCATCCATCCATCCATCATCCATCCATCCATCATCCATCAATCATCCATCATCCATCCATCCATCATCCATCCATCCATCCGTCCCTCCCCTTCCTGCAGAACTGGGCCGGGATGCGCTGTCCCTACAAGCTGCTGCGGATGGTTCTGGCGC